CGTGGTTCATGGCTAGTCCACTCTCACTATGGAAAAATTATCTGGAGGCCCCTGCAATCTGTTTTTTACACCACCTTCTTAGGGAGTTTTCCTCTTGTGTTTGGCGTGGGGTGGTCTGTAGTTTCCTTCACATTCCTCTCATCAAAATGTTATTTAAAATTTTTTTAAAAATCTTTATTTATTTTTGAGAGAGACAGATGTTGGTAGGGGAGGAACAGAGGCAGGAGCCCCAGAATCCAAAGCAGGCTCCAGGCTGAGAGCTGTCAGCACAGCTGAACCCATCGTGGGGCTTGAACTCAGAACTGAGATCATGACCTGAGCCGAAGTTGGATGCTCAACCAACTGAGCCACCCAGGCGCCCCTCAAAATGTTATTTTTATTTAAAACACTAGTTACCCACATGTGATCTGCTCATTCGTGGTTTTCCACCAAGCCCTTTACATTTTGTATCTCAGCTGATACAGTCTTCTGGTATGTAAAACAAAACAATATGAAAAGGAATACAGTCTCCTGCTTCACTGGTAAAACCTATGTTAAAAACTAGCTGGCTCCTGCAACTCTTGATCTCAGAGTCAGGAGTTCAGGACCCACATTGGATGTAGAGATCACTAAAACAAAAACAAACTTAAAAAAATAACTATTATCAGGTATTTTTTAAAATTTTTTTTAATGTTTTATTTATTTCTAGGAGAGAGAGAGAGAGAGAGACAGCGTGAGCAGGGGAGGGTCAGAGAGAGAGGGAGTCACAGACTGAAACAGGCTCCAGGCTCTGAGCTAGTAGTCAGCACAGAGCCCGACGCGGGGCTCGAACCCACGAACCGCGAGATCATGACCTAAGCAAAAGTCAGATGCTTAACCGACTAAGCCACCCAGGCACCCCTATTATCAGATATTTTTGTTTCAAATAAAATTATCACTTTCATGGTGACTGCAAAACAAAAAAAGTACGCACTTGTCCTTGACTCCAAACTGCCCTCGTTCTCAACTATCTTAATTTACTTATAACAAAGATTTTTCATTCAAATACAAAATATTAATGGATATGCACTCTCCTCCTGCCCTTCCTTCACAAAAGGAAGCCTAACAGGTTGCTCTGGGCCTTTCTTCTCTTGTGAAACCGTGTATCTTGGAGGCTTTCCATATCCGTGAATGGCGTCCACATGTTTACAGTGGCAAAGTATTCCATTGTTTGAATGTACATGAGATATTTAGCTAATCCTCTTTTGTTGGACATTTGGACTATTTCAACAAACAGAGCTGAAGCAGAAAACCCTCAGACACACGTCATCATGCACAAAGGAAGAGATACTGTAGGAGAAATACCCAGAAGTGGGCTTGCCCCGTCAAAGGGTAGATGCAACTGTAACTGTGATTGTTAGTGTCAAATTGCTCTCCACAGGAGTGGTACCAATTTACATTCCCACTAGCAACAGATGAATGTGCCTGAAGGCAAAGTTAGATTTTACCAATATGAGGCTAGAAATGGTATCTTAATATAGTGTTAACTTTTTTATCCTGTGGAATTTTGAACATCTCTTCTTAAGTTGTAGAGACCATTTACATTTCTTTTTTCTGTTTTTCCTATGCCTTGCCAACTTTTAAAAAGTATACATAGTTTTTCATTTAAAGGAGCTCTTTGCATATCAGGGATATTAATTCTTGTTTGTAATATCGGCTGAAGATCTTTTTCCCAGGTTACTGTTTGTCTTTTAACATATTTCTGGTGGCACTTTTATTGTCATGAAGAATTTTGGGTTTTTACCTAATCTTTTATGACATCTAAAATTTGAGTCCTAGAAAGACCTTCCTTACTCAAATCATATAAAGAAATCTATCCATGTATTATTTTAGTAATTGTATGGTTTTATTATTTTTACATTTAAATATTTGATCCATTTAGAATTTATACTAGTGTATAGTGTGAGGTAAAAATCTAACTTTTTTTTTCAGTTATTTACCAAGTTGTACCAATAGCAGTTACTGGTAAGTTCATTTTTTTAAGGATCTTTAAATAGAATCTTAGGGGCACCTGGGTGGTTTAGTTGGTTGAGCGTCAGACTCTTGATTTTGGCTCAGGTCATGACCTTACAGTTTATGAGAGACCCATGACCCTGCAGTGGGTCTCTGCACTGACGGTGAGGAACCTGCTTGGGATTCTCTCTCTCTCCCTCTCTCTCTCTTCTCCTTCCCTACTCTCTCTCATGCATGCTCCCTCTCTTTCTCAAATAAATAAACTTAAAATAAATAAATGTGAATTTTAGATATCTGGCTAAATGTAATGGTATCATTATTTTCTAAGCTAAAATTCATAAAAGAAAGGGGTTAGGAAATTACCCCTACTATGTGCACAAGATACCTGAAGATGGAAGTGGAAATTTAGGTTTTGAGATTCTTTGAATCTATAGTAACTAGATTGAAATGGATATAGAAAGTCATATACGGAAAATGTTGGGTTATGTTAGGGAAATACTGCTATAGCGTTTTATCATTTTCCTTTTACAACTTAAGGGCAAATGATTAGCAAAATTACACCGGAGACTCAAAGGAGAAGAGCATTTTTATGATAAGTGAATGAACAACCTAAAATGGAACTGGGTACAATGCTGTCTCAGTGACATTTTTAGGCCCCACCCTGGAAGTGCTGAATCAAAATATCTAGAGCAGGCGGTGGGGGTTGGGGCAAAAATCTTGAGCTGCGACAAGGGGATCTATATTTATAACAAGTTCTCAGATGATTGTAGTGCAGGCGCTCCCACACAAGTTAGTGAACTCCCATCTAGGAAACTTTGACTTCTAGCCTGAAAAAGAAAGGGCAGAAGCCAAGTTCAGAACCACAGAACTTGAAAAAATGTGAAGGAATGATTGGACCCAGCCCATTGTCTTCATTCTAATTAAAGGACACACATGTGCTTCCTCTCCCCAAATGTCTCAGTAATCCACAAACGCCATCAGAAGCTCAATTTCAAAGTCATCACCCCAACAATCAAGAATTCTTGTCTTTCCACAAATGATCTGTCTGGCTTTAGTTTGGATCACTTTCTTTTTGTTAAATCCTACTTTTAATATTCCTTCAGCTTTGAAAGTATGCCAGGCACTTCATAAACCTTAATGTTTTCACTTGGTTTCCCACAAGCCTTGCAAAGTGGGTATTATGGATCTAATGTTTACAGTTAAGAAAACTGAGGCTTGGAGAGATTGTATAACTAGTTTAAGGGTCCTGAGTAAGTGTATTCAGCTGTTTTGTGAAATCTTTCTATAGAGAAGAACATGATCAGCATCTCTTTCTATGATCCTCAGACAAAACCCATGATGGGTTGAAGATACAGTAACCAAGAACATCTTAATCTTTACGTATTTAATTTGCATTCTTTAGATACAATTTTGGACCTGAGAAGCCTATTTTAAAAAGCATCCTTCCTACAATAATCTCTTTCTGTCTTTTCACCTGCTTGGTCTTTCGTCAATGTATCCCTCAGTACCTGACAGTACGTGCACTAATCTACATCCATGTTGCCTGCCCTGGACCACCAGAATGAAAGCTTCCCCCAGCGCAGGCACTTGGTCTCCCTTGTTCTCCACTATATCCTCAGTTCTTGGAACACTGGAAGTCATCAATTTTTGCTGGAGAAATAACTGAAAGTGAATTCTTCATTCATACTGGCTTCTTTTCTTTACAACTGCCCAGGTTTGAGGTTTTGTTCTGTTTTCAAATTCTGAGCATATAGCTGGGTGTTAGGGTTTAAAGCTGGTTTAATAACCCGGTAACTATAGTTTCTCCCTTCTATAACTAGTATCTCTGCTCCTTGGGAAAATAAAAGCCAGCAGAAAGCAGAGCTTTGAAAATCATTATCATCACACCTGAGCCTTCTTTTCTCTGTGCCAACTAGTGTTCCTCTGCCTTTACTCTGCTGTTCTCTTCTCTATAATGTCCCCTTTTCTCCACTAGGCACAATCTATAACACTGTCACTTACTAAGGACTTCCTATGTGTCAAGGAGTGTAAATTGTATTTCATGAGGTACTTCATTAAATTATCCCAGAAACTCACTCAGGTGTGTTACCTCCACTTTTCACATAAGGCATATGAAGTTCAGGGAGAGTAACTCACCTGTCTGAGGAAAAAGAGCTAAGACCCCAACCCAAGTTTATATCCACTTAAATCTCAAGCTTTTTTCACAATGTCTTCAGTGTGTGAGAGAAACCTGGTTAGCTATAGTGTCTCCATGAGCTCGAAGGCTACTATTTTCTAAAGACCCGTTAACCTAAAAGATCTGCATCGTGAAACAAAGGTAAGGGAAACATTCCATTTCTTCACTTTTATAAATCATGTTAAATATGGTTCATTTCATAATGTACTAAGGTCTGGGGAAAACACAACGTTCGTCATTTTGTGGGGTATATCAGCGAGGAAATGCCTTCAGTCAAATGTAAATGAGACCTAGTGCGTCTTGAAGAAATAATGGTTACGCCATCTAGTGAAAGAAATCTGGAAGTCAGGACTCCAGATACAGCAGCTCCACAAAGCCATCTAAGTTTTAAGATCCTTCCAATATTCTGCTCTGCCATTTTTAGTGCATAATTTTCATGCACAGAGGTGTCTCATGGTTTATGATGATTGCTAGAGCTCTACTCATGACATCTGCCAGACAGACAGGAAGGAGGAAAGGTAAAGAAACATGTCCTATTAAAAAACTTTCCCAAAGGCCCAACCCATCAGAATCCTCCACCTTCTGTGCCAAATATGGCCACGGAAGTCTTCTCCGTGGCTCCCACTGACTGGAACTTGATGCTCAGTTTCCTAATAAGCACGCGGCACTCTCCCCTTACAGGATGCATTGAAGAAAAGTGTATCATGCAAGTCTCAGCCACCATGGTACCCACTGCCAATCCCTTATTCCCAGTCTTAGGCAGCATACCTGTTTCAGTGATCTTTTGCAGCCTAACAAATAACCCCAGAGCTTAAATTATTTTAAGAACTTAAAATACAAGCGAATACCTCTCATCGTTCTTCAATCTGGGCAGACCTCAATGGGAAAGTCTCATCATGGTTGCAGGTGGTATTTGGCTGAAAACCTTCATGCAACTGCTCTCATCCGTCAGCGCTCCTGGAGCTAGCAAGTCCTACTGGGTCCTCTCTCTTCCCCCACAGTCTCTCTGTGTGGCCTCTTATCACTTAGTGATCTAGTCAGTGCTTTTTTCCAAGGTGTCTGGATCCTAAAAGAAAGGGGTTCAATAAAAAGTTAGGGGAAGCTGTCCTCTAAGGTTCTGGAGCTGACACTAGCAAGGCATCACTTCCTCCATATTCTGCTGATCATAAAGAAGCTATAAAGCCAACCCAGACTCCAGGGGAAGGAAAGAACCTTCACCTCCTAAAGGAATATGACCACTGTAATCCACCATTCTATACCCTCCCTTTAAGGTTGGACCACTCTTTCTAGAAACATCAGTTTCTCTAACTACATCCTTTCAGGACAAGTCAATGATAATCTCTTAATGGACCTAACCTTTCCAAACAAACATTTCCAGGCCTGAAAGATAAAAAGTTGCTAACACAATGCACCTGCTTCTCTCTAGACAAGGGAGTCTATAAGAATTGGCTTCTTGTGAAAGAGAAATATTCTTTTCTTTCCTTTTGGAAATGAGGAAACAGTGGCAAAAAGTCAAGAATGTATTATTTCAATAACATTCCAGTTACAGTCACATTCATATTTTTTAATATAGTTAGCTTCTAATTCCCTGCTGTAGTTTGGTAGAGCATAGACATAAGAAAACAAAACTTAATGATGTTTATAAAGATTTATTTTGACAGCTTCAATTTCATTTATATTCAAACCGTTATCCTATCCCTGAAAGAACAGAAAAATAATTGGGTTGGCTCCCACCTCCCTTTCCTTCTCATTGTTTAAGAAAAAGATAAAGTCATTAGTATATAAATTCAGCTCAAAGCAGAAAGAGATCTTATTGATTCCAGAGCCTGGGAAATCACAAGTAGGTCTGGTTTCAAGTGTAGCTGGATACAGGTGCTCAAATATTATCACCACTGCCCTTTGCTTACATGTTCTTGGCTACAACTCTCAATTGTTTGGCTTCATTCCCTCCTGCCACAGATGAGCTTTGCCCAGTAACTGGAAAGAGAATTTCCAGCAGCACCATCATAATTTTCTTCAAGATTAGCCACTCCCATGAAAAATAACTTCTCCTCCCATCCTAATAATAATCCCATGGAAAGATTTAATTTTCCTGTTTAGGTCACATGTCCACTTTTGGATGAACTGCTTTCTCAGAAGAATGCTCTGGTATACAAAAAGTGCCCTGCCCCCCAAAGATGTCCACATTCTAATCTCTGTAGCCTATGAATATGTTACTTTGTGAGCCAAAAGGGACATTGCAAATGTGATTGAATTAAAGGCCTTGCAATGGTAGGATTATTCTGGATTATCCAGGTGGGCCCAATGTTATCACAAGGATCTTCAGAAGAAGGGGGCAGAAGGAATCAGAGTCTGAGAGGAGGAACTGAGAACTGTGATTATGGGAGCAGAGATTGGATTGATGTGCTTTGAAGCTGGAAGGAGCCACAAGACAAGGAATACAGGTGTAGAAGTTGGAAAAGGCAAGAAGCAGATTCTCTCCCAGCACCTCCGAATGGAACCAGCTATGCCAATACCAATTTGGGGCTCTGGCCTCTAGAACTGTGAAATAATAAATTTTGGTTGTGTTAAGCCACTAGGTTTGTACTAACTTGTTACAGTAGTGAAAGAAATTCACATAAGTGGTTTCCTGATTTGGCTCCGTTTAGTTTGGATGTTTTGATCTGTGGTCAAGGAAGGGGGGTAGGAGTTGATAGAGAGGGGGGCAGAGCAGGAGCATGTGGTTGATAGTACAGCCAAGCCAAGACCACATAAAATCAGGCAGAACTCCCTCGGAAGGAAAATTCCTTTCCTGTATGAGGAAGTAGATAGAAAAGAAGGCATGATAAATATAGTCAACAATTAAACACCACCATAAACAGTAGCTACCACAATCTAGTACTACCATCTAGTACTACCCATAAGTAAAAAATGGTGAGTCCAGCAGAAGGAAGGAACTAACTAACTAACTAGGTGTAGGACTTACCGTTGGGCTTGGATAATCATGATCCCACAGCAGCAACAGCTAAGGTTTCCCTGCTTCGATGTCCTGAAAGACAAGAATTATGAGAGATAAAACACCTCTTAGAATCAGTAAGACCTAAGTTCAAATCCTCCACTAAGAGTGAACACTCTCATCTTGATTTTCAACAGTAACATGGTAGAGTTCGTGATTCCTCAACTCTTCCAGAAAGAATGCAAATGTAGGAGAGGAACCTGAATGCACACACTGAGAATTTCACAAGGGTCCCCACACGAATGAACCTTTCCTTGAGTATTGTTTTTATTATTTAAAATTCAGGCATTTGAATTTAATATAAAACTGATATTTTAAAAGTCCTGTGAAATAATTTATTTTTCTTCCCAAGTGTTTGAATTCATTGATGCTTCAGAAAGTTCTACCATTTTTACTCTGGGTTCAAATAGTCTATAATGTCAATGATGTACATAACATATGTAGCCTGTTTGTGGGATTAGGCTCAGGACCCTTCCAGACCTCCAAGTTCTGAGACAATCACCCATAGGCTCTGTGGGGGCACCAGATGATCACCAAAACTGGCTGGTGAAACAGTTTGGCTTTTCATGGCACTCCTTGACTTTAGCATGTGGGAGAGGGCTTCCCATAGATTTGCACCAATATGGTTGCTTGAGGAAGACAGTCAGAAGGCCAGGAAATGAAAAGTCCTTTAGAAGGAGTCATTATGGAGAGGGGAAAACAATAGAGAGAGAGAGAGAGAGAGAGAGAGAGAGAACTCTAGATGCACTCACTGTCAGACTGCAACAGGGAAGAAACCTGGAGCAACTTCTGTCCAGTTAGCTCACAAAACCAAAAGAGGTAATAATAGCAAGTTAGGGTTATTGTTTTACCCTGCTAAGTTTATGTACCAGTAGATAATCAAAACAAGGGTACTGTCTGGAGGAATCTCTGGAAAGGGAAAAAAGAATATGTAACTCAGGCACATAACCTTCTATATCCAGGACCCCTGATTCTATCCCAGCACCTCTGATTTCACTTTCCATGTTGGATTTTAAGGTGTTTCTTTACTTTTCCATTTCTCTGCCTGGAAGACAGTAAGTGCTTCATAAATGTATGGGGAGGGGCACCTGGGTGGCTCAGTCAGTTAAACATCTGACTTCCGTTCAGGTCATGATCTTGAGGCTCTTGTGAGTTTGAGCCCTGTGTCAGGCTCTGTGCTGACGGCTCAGAGCCTGGAGCCTGCTTTGGACTACGTCTCTTTCTCACTCTGCCCCTCCCTCCCTCACGTTCTGTCTCTCCCTCAAAAATAAACAGACATTAAAAAAAATTAATAAATAAATGGGGAAATGGGAGTAAGGAGACAGGGAGGCTGGGAACTAAGCCCAAATGATGGGAACTACAACCTCAGACCCTCACTGAAATCTTTCATGGGTTGAATTTGGTGGAAAGCTGCAAGTAGTACAACGTGGCCTGAAGGTGCCGTACCACCAATTCCATTACCTACCTACCCACTGAGTAACTATGTTACTTCATATCCTAGGACACATTCTCACACTGGAATGCAGGAAATAGAACCAACAGGTAGTATCCACCCGAAGTACCAATTGGTAGAAAAGTAAGCAATTAAAAACAAAATTTTAAATTAAAGTAAACCCAAATGTGTTGTGGGGAAGAATGCAAAATTAGCATGGATTTTTAAGGAACAAAGGGTGAACCCTCAAAGAATATTCACCCCTGCACTGGCATTGTGCTATATCGCCAGAGTAAGTGTTCTGTCTTCTCAGTTAGTAGGAACTCAGTTTTAGAAAATCCCATGTAAGGGATTATCAATCAAAATGTTGATATTGTAATGTCTTCCTGTACCACTGGTCAAAAAGTGGGGCACCTGCGTGGCTCAGTCATTTAAGAGTCCAACTCTTGATTTAGGCTCAGGTCATGATCTCACAGTTGGTGGGATCAAGTCCCATGTTGGGCTCTGTGTTGACAGCTTGGAGCCTGCTTGGGATTCTCTCTCTCCTCTCTCTGCCCCTCCCCCTATTCATGTTCTCTCTCTCTCTCTCTCAAAATAAATAAGCTTAAAAAAAATTGACAGCTCATAGCTAATCTGCACTTGTCTTATCTGACACACAAAGCAATTACTTTTTTTTTTTTTTTTACAACTTGAATTAGTGGCCAATATTTAAACCTCAGGAGTATAATTTACTAAGCTGGATCTCTGGCTTCTGAAAGAAACTGGATGAGCCGACAACCTTAAGTCCGTCTCTTCATGTGGCGACAGTCAGCTAGTGCCAAGCTTCAGCTTCTCCCCCTTTTCTTTAGACAAGACCTGGTCCCAGTAGTTTGCCACGGTCTTCACCACTTCCTGTCCACCCAACCAGCCAGACTACGGCCTGTTTCTCTTGTCTGTGGTAACTGCCTGAGCCTGGGAAGTTCAGTTCCATACTGTCATGGAATCGTTTGTGTCACTTTCCACTATTTGTCACTGACTTCCAAATTTAAAAAATTTTCAGGATACAGTCTTACATCCAGAAGATGGGTCTTTATTTGCCCAAGTCCCAAATCAGAGAATCATAGAACTGGAATGGACCCATTTTTTTGATGATGGCCATAGCATCCTGAGGGCTGCCACTCAACCATGGGGATTAGAAAGACTCCCAAGATTGCCCGACTTACTCTCAAGGAAAGATTCAGACTCAAAACTTATATCTTCCCCAAACACAGAGTCCCAGAAGAACTGGGCAACAAAGTTAAAACTGGTTCTTTTTTTCTTTAAGTTTATTTATTTTGAGACAGACTGAGACAGCACAAGTGGGGGAGGGGCAGAGAGAGAATGGGAAATAGAGAATTCCAAGCAGGCTCCATACTGTCAGTGCAGAGCTCAATGCAGGCCTCGAACTCTCAAACCGTGAGATCATGACCTGAGCTGAAATCAAGAGTCAGACGTCGACTGAGCCATCCAGTCTCTGCAAAACGAGCCCTTTTAGAGCATGCACTTTCCTTATGAGACACACAATCCTTTTCACAGTGTTCGATGTGGGGAACAGTTCCCAAAATGTCTTTGGATTCTGTCAGGAACAGGTGAGGGTGGCGTCCTTACAGACACGTGGACAGCCAGGTAACAGAGTCCAAGTTCTTGCGGCACTCTGTGTGTGTGTGTGTGTGTGTGTGTGTGTGTGTGTGTGACTGTATCCACATCAGGAGCCATGAATGTTCAGCATGAGTCATGGTTTTGTTTTCTGGGCTCAGTAGCCTGTGGTCTGGCAGGAATCAAGGTCTGGGTCTGGGATTTTGCAACAGCTGTTCATGTCATGTCACCTGCGGCAGCAACTTAGCGTGCACTGGCTTTTTATCATTTTTATCAGCTCATGAGCACTGGCTTTGATTGCCAAAAGGCCATGTTTCTCAACTAAAAAATAATATTCCTATCTGGAATGAGTGTGGAGTCTTAAATGGTGGGGTCTAAATTCTTATCTTATGCCACATGGTCTTAAATTGCTCAGGTAGTCTCTACTTTTAATTGAAGGTGGCTAACTCCTAAAGAAAACATCTACAACATCTATCCAGATGCAACCATAACTCAGAGAGGATCAATAGCGAATAGAGTGGAGATGAAGGCTCATTCTCTCTCTAGCTTATCTTAAAATGACTCTTATGTTTTCAAGGCACATCTGCCCTGTTGCCCATTCAGGAATTGAATACGCAAACTTCTCACTACCAGGCAACTGTTACAAGGTCCTTTCTATCACCTTGTAGCCCTGGTCTTTCTAGACTTCATTTTTAGCCCACCTTCTAAGGAAATCTCCCTAATCCCTGATCTTGCATTTGCCTGTTCCTGGACCCTTTCCAGCCTCTCCACGGAGAAAGGCAAAGTGTCCTTTGGAGTGTGGCCATGGGAAAAACACTGATTATGTGATGAACATAGGCACTGCCTGTCCCCTGCAAATAGCACACAGCAAAGACAGAGGGATGCCACAGAGGGTTGTGTCCCTGTCTTGTTGCGGAACCTGAATTAACCTATTCTGATAACGAAACAGCCAGTTTGGATGGATGTAACATAAAATCTTACCAAACGTACTTAGTCAGGAAGGCAAAGATCTAAGCCATAAGTCAGTCTTGGATGACGGGTAATGGTGTGAATAGTCACAATAGGTCTATCAATATCACTAATTGGGAACTCTTCAAAATGCTCATCAAAATGCCCTTAAAACATGATGCTTCTTTTGAAGGTAGTCTATTATTAACAAAGAGAGTTTTCAACTTAAAAAGTATTTGCATGTATGTAATATTGGAGAACAGGAAAGTGTAAATTTTTATTTAGGTCATTGAAGAAGGAGCATAAGGCAAGCTGAGGCTGCAAACATGCCATCCCCACCCCCAGGTGGGAATTGTGTGGTATTCCTTGGGCACTCCTGGCTGCCCAAGAATAAAGGAAAGGGGAAAAATAAATGGTTAAGTCATAGAGATCATAGTCCTGCAGGACCTAAGTCTCCATCACCTCTCCATAGTGATGTGGGAAACAAAGGCAGAAGAAAATGGCAGATAGAACTAAATTTCCTTATAATGTGCAGCTCATTGACAAATACTTGAGGCTGGCAGGGTAAAATGTTTCTCCAGGAACTCCATACTGTTTTAAATGCTAATGCTTTGCTAGAGGGAAAAACAACCTTAGCTTGACAATAGCTAGTTGTCCAGTAACCTGTGAGTCTTTAGCATATGAAAATCTCACTGGAAACTTCTCCTGGACTTTACCCCCCCCCCCCCCCCCCCCCCCCCCCCCCTATAACCAGTCTCTCCTCCTTGTCCTGGGGCAGCTCTTCCTGCCCAAGGGTCCTGTCCCAGTGCTTCAATAAAATCACCTTTTTGCACCAAAGATATCTTCAAGAATTCTTTCTTGGTCATTGGCTCTGGACCCCACGAACCCCACTGTTCCCCCCCAAAACCTCATCAGTTATTATTACCTAATAAAATTATCTGCTTGCTATTTCCAGATCAGAAAGCAGTATTGACAGAAAATTCTAGATAAAATCTATTGCAGCAAATTCAGGTGATTGTTACTTCGATATGTGATCATT